AGGTGTTTTTTGCACAAGTCTTTGCAAGTTGGATTCAACCGAGTGAAAGCTTTGAAGAATGGAGGTCCGGTCAAAGGAGTAGCGGTAACCGGAGGATCAAATTGGAGGTCTTGTGTGACTTGATCTTGCTAAGATTAAGGAAGAGAAGAAGCTATGATCAACATCAATATAAGGTTTGGGGGTTTGAATTGCTACTACTTCTCTTGTAAATTGATATTGCAAAGGTTAATTACAATATCTTAATTTGATTTTGAATTGAGGGAAAACGTATTCCATAATGAGGACAATCAAGGAACTGCCTAAACAAATCTTGGTGTTCTCTCTCTCCTCTCTCTCTCTCTCTCTCTCTCTCTCTCTCTCTCTCTCTCTCTCTCTCTCTCTCTCTCACTCTCTCTCTCTCTCTCTCTCTCTCTCTCTCTCTCTCTCTCTCTCTCTTTCTCCCCTCCCCCCCCCCCCCCCGCGCACACACACACACACACACATACTCACACACTATCTCTCTCTCTCTCTCTCTCTCTCTCTCTCTCTCTCTCTCCTCTTTCTCTCTCTCTCTCTCTCTCATCTCTCTCTCTCTCTCTCTCTTCTCTCTCTCTCTCTCTCTCTCTCTCTCTCACTCTCTCTCTCTCTCTCTTCTCTCTCTCTCCCACTTTACATTTTGATAACACTTAGTGTGTAATTTGAATTGTTGAAAATTATAATTGTGTTGAAGTGTCTTAAGTTGTTTTGTGAAACCATTGCAATCCAAACAATTGTAATTTATTTGTTACACCTTCAATCTTCAATATAAAGAGAATTAAGTTTGGTGTATTGCACACCAAGTGTTTGATATTTTGATTTCACATTAAGTGTTCGATAAAACTCCTTAGTCAAGTTTAATTTTACTTTTCATTGGAAATCTTTTATCTTAGTGTGGTTTATATTCAAACAAATATATTGAACTTATTGATTTGTTTTTATCATCTTTAGCATTCATTTAATATAGTTGTACACATATCCAATTCTACTAATAACGTTCAGATAGACAGATTCGGTCCGGATTCGCTTTCGTGTTCCATAGAAAAATATTTTCGAAACAAAATTTTAATAAGAAAATTTTATTTGGCGATTTATTCAACCCCTCTTCTAAATCATTGCCCTCGTCTAACAAGTCACTATTCCCAGAATGTTGTTGTAAGGTGATAGGGTGTTCACAATGAGGTAGCTCACGTAGATTGCCATGACGCCCACCCCTGATAACCCCGTCAAAGAACCATTAAATTTTTTTATGTAACTTGGGTAGAGTAGCAGTTTCTGAAAGGCGTCTTAAAATAGGATGTCAGCAGAGTTATCAGGGTCTATCAAAACGTGTCTGACGTCCTAGTTTCCATGTTGAACAATGATGACCAAAGGATCATCATCGTGAGGCTTAAAACCTGGGGCATCCTTTTCGAAAAAGATAATATCAACCCCTGTTTTCCCTTGAGAGTTTATGGGGAAACCAGAGGATGTTACGTTTTTCGTAAACACCTGCCTTGTATATTTCCTTCGGGAAGATCTAGAGCTGCCTCCACCAGTGAAACCTTAAGCGATGGTGTTTATGTTATAGGTTGTGGTTTTGTCAGCCATCTTAAGTGGGGAGATGAAGGGAATTAGAGTAGGAGTGTGACCCAAGTTAGTTTTACCGGGGCCTCACGGTGGGCGCCACTGTACTTGTAAAAAAAATACATGTGTGCCTGTAATCCCAATAAGGACAGGTAGACTCATAGACTTTAGTAGGTTTATAACATGATATGGTGGTTAGGGTTTTCCTATGATGGTGAGAAGCCGTGTGTGGTGGTGTTTGAGGGTTATTTAGAAGTCATGCTTATGTGAGGTTACAGGTTGTGCCGATGACCGGTGAGACTTGAGAGCAAGCATATGGTTATAGTCAGTCGTGGTGTTGTGACTTTAGTAAGCGCTATGCTCTTTTGGGGTGTAAAGAATGAGTTGTCTTTCTCATGAATGAGAGATGCATTTATAGAGGCCTCTAGGACCTAGGATTCTCTTAGGAAGGGTCACCGCCCACTCAGGCAATGATAGATCGTTGAGTTCTTATTTTTTTAGAATGTCATTGATCAATTATTGACCATGACTTCTCTCTTCCTCATAAACATCTTATCTCATATTTTTCACTATTGAGTAATAGAAAAATCCTAAGACGAAGTGATACATCCCTTTAGACAACAGACAACACTCCTACGTCGCCTCTAATGGAATGATCTTAAGGCATCGCCCTAAAAAAAAATCCTTTTACAATAATTATAACAATATAACTTGTTTTTCTATTTTTTTAGTTGCATAATTACAATTACTATCTCTTGACACCAACTATCTTTATCATAGTTTTATCAAGTGTGCCATTTTGTTGACATTGAAATTTATCTCATCCTCCAAATAAATTTGATGATCAATCTAAGACTCAATTTTACTCATTTTAAATTTTACTTTTTTTCAACATAAACACCTGGACAAAACTATTCTCACTAACTAATTACAGTTTTACTACATTAATCTATGTATACAAATTTTAAAACCATTCTAATTAATTTTACAATTAAAAAAAGAAACTTATGATATATGTTCTGTTATCCAAAGGAGTCAATCATACAGCAAGAACAAAACATCAAGATGAGTAGTTGCAAAACCATGTTCTGTTCATCACTCTCTTCCTCCTTCAAATTCAAATCCAAATCCACTCTCTCTCTTCTCCCTCCTTCTTCTCTCCTCCACCTCCACCATCACCACCACAAATCCACCTCACGATGCTACGTTTCATCTCAAACCGCCGTCGTTTCATCCATAGCAGAACCGCAAACAGAAGAGCCGCAATCCAAGGACAAAATCCAAAACATCCTCACGAACGGCGAAGGAGTCACCGCAATCATGAAAATGAACCGAAAGCCTCTTCTTCACGAGCCTCAGGCTCGGTGGTTCCCTTACCTAGACAGTTTCAGCTGCGGGAACGGTTGCGAACTTACCAGCGACGAAGTCATTGAAGCTGTTGATTCTTGTGTTTCGGAGTCGAGGAAGCTTAGGTTCGGGAACGCGGTTCGGAACCGAAGCTACTCGGTTTGTCTTGTGGTGGAAGGGTTGTCTGATTTCGGTAACGTTTCTGCTGCTTTTCGATCTGCTGATGCGCTTGGTGTTCAGTCTGTTCATGTTGTTTCCAGTGAAGCTAACAAAAGGTGTTTACATTGTTGAGGTGAAATTTAAAAATGTGTGTTTTTTTGTTCTTTAATTTGTTGCATTTGAATTCACTGTTGAAGCATTTAGAATTGATTAGAATTGATTTTGACATGTTTGGTGAGAAGTAGAAATGATTTTGCATTCGATGTCCCTATACACAGCTACCAACGAAGTTATCTTAATGAGACTTATGTTAATATTGTGTAATATTACTTAAATTTAACCAATCTCCGGTAAATTTATTGTTGTCAAGAACTAAATTTTTCTCGATTATGAAATTGAATTTCATTAATCGTGATTGAAATGAAGTTGAGTAAGATGCCATTGCAATGTCTAACTTATGTTCTTTGTTGCAGGTATAAGGACAATCGCCATGTAAGCATGGGTGCAGAGAAATGGTTGGACATTGAACTGTGGGACTCTACAAAGGAATGCTTTGAAACGTTGAAATCACGCGGTTATAGAATTGCCACGACTCATGTTGGAATCGATGCGGTATTATTTGTCTCTACTACTTTTGTTAGTTTATAAATATCCCGAGAAATCGTGCTCAATTCAACCTGTTATCAATCATGTATCGATGTATTGTAATTGCATATGCGTAAGTGCAAATATTTTTCGTACAATGGAGTTGACTAACCTTTTCTTGCTGTGTATAGGTTTCTATTTACGACATGGACTGGTCTTGTCCAACTGCAATAGTCGTCGGGAACGAAAATAGGTTAAGAATCTTAAACTATTACACTAAATTTATTTTAAAATTTTTGTTCTATTTTGTAACTTGGGTTTCACTTTTCTTATGAGATTCATGTTTTTTTTTGCAGGGGTATTAGCGACGAGGCTTTGGCAATGTCAGATTTACACTGCAGTATTCCAATGAAAGGGATGGTGGACTCTTTCAATGTTTCAGTTGCTGCAGGAATTCTCATGCACCATGCTGTTTGTGATAGAATTTCTCGAACGGTGATGATCTTACTTTGCATCGTTATTGCACTATTGCTGCATCTCATTTGTGTTTTTAGCGAAGTCTGAATTTCTCAATACGGTTGCAGGGCCAGCACGGCGATTTGACAGTAGAAGAAAGACAGATTCTACTAGCAGAGTTTTCGCTGCGTCATAGCAATAGCGTGATCAGTGTTGTTGAACATTACGCAAAGCGCAAGGCAGCGTTATTGACCTAGAACCATTCACAGGAAACTAAGCTACTTCTAATTTTATGTTCGCTCATTCTTAACATGGAGAGACAGGCAAGCACTAGATCACCCTGATTCAAATGCTACTTTGCATTAACCGAAGCACAGCGCACAAGCCTTAATCACAACAATGGAAACTCGTGATATAATTGCGGAACTGTTTTTTGGTTGAGTTTTTAGGTATTACCGAGTCACAAGGACAAGGATTTTGTTTTCCTGGTTCGATTCATTTTGACATACAACAGTTTGTGTTATAATTTATAATCAAGGAAGTTCAAAAGGTTATTTATCGGTGCTTTTTTCTCTGATAAGATTATGACAGAATAAAACCGGTTAGAAAACCGATGAACTTGTGTTGTGCATTATAGTGCTCTCATCCTTATTATCTTCAAAATGCTATTCAATAAATAAACAATACAAAAATTACACTTAGGCCTTTCGCCAATGAAAAATTAGACGAGAAGACAGCTATGAAATGACAAAAACACAGCAAGGGACTCTCGTTGTTGGGATCGTTTTGCAGGAAATATATTACGACACGTTGCGTTAAGAATCGGGAAAGACCTTTCATATTATTTTCCAAATGGACATGGCATGTATTTTTTATAATGAATCATCGCTGAAATTTTCGCCAACGGATATACTTGAAGACGTATATCCTGTGTTCGCAGGTCCAAACAATAACTCTACGCAGAAGGTAGGTCCACAGATCGATCTTCCTTTCTTCCCAACTTTGTCCAAATCCTTTACTGTGAGCTGCAAAACAAATTAGTTACAAAAGTGAGTCGAACTCACACGTAATGTCAGTCGAACGATCTCAAATCAATGGCTGAAATCAATTAACGCCAAGAAGGATGAGGTTACCTGTAGTAAGCTGTTCCTAATAAAAGCTGTATTAAAGCAGCAGTAGAAAAGACGGCCTCCGATCATTTTCTCATAGAATATCACTCGAACATCACCTGTTACCTGATACATTGAGAATAGTTTATCGACTTCGAATCACATTTCTATAGTTTAGGTTGCAAATTAAAAGGTTTACTTGAAATATTTTGTATCATGTTTGGTAGAAACTTGTAACTTACCTGTATAGGTTTATCAAAATAATGGTCCAAACAAGATTTCTGGTATATTGCAGGAGTTTCTGTATCCATTTGAACTACAACACGAGGTTCTTCTATTTCCGATTGTTTTCCATCTTCATCACCTTCGGGAATAGAAATATAATATCGCGGACTGTTTGTTCGTTGATAGCCTTTCTTAATCGCTCTACAGCAGCTCCTACAAATCTCGATGGCTGGACGGTAGACCTGGTTAGGAATCTGTCGAACAACGAAACGGAAGAACACGTATTTTCAACTAGACGATGTAACAAAAACATTTTGTACCTAAATTGAGGAGAAACTAACCTCCTGCAGTTCTGATATAACAAAGAAAACTGTGTCGATGTTTGCAGTATCATACAATCGGATTCGCCGTAATTCTCTGCTACATGGTTGAGGCAAATTCACACTTGGAGATCCGTATCCAATTCCTCTAGGGACAGAAAGCAGACTTTCCCAGTACCCTACATAACGACGTTGGCTCGGTATTGATACCTAATCCCATGTAAAAATGCAGTCGAACGTAGTCATAATCGTTAAATTATTTAAAAAACATTTACTTCCAAAGTCACGTATAGTCAGTTACGGTTGATTGACAGTGTAAACATATTTCTATCGACGATGCACGTTGATGGAGATAAATTTACATTTCAAATTGTTGGAATTATACCTAACATTAACTTACTCCTTCATTATTTGTTGTTCTTCTATCTGCATATAATTGAAGAGCTTCATCTGCTGACATGCCGCAATAAGCTAGGTATGCCGATACCATCAAACCAGTTCTACCTTTACCTGCCTGCATTATTGGAATCGAATAATACAAGTGAGAAAGAAAATACGTAACTAGTTATAGTTACGGTTTTAAAGGATATGCACCGTCAGTGTCAACTAGTTTTATAGTAACATCTAATCACATATCGTTGTTTTGACACATCATCTCATTTTCGTAATCGGTTGCATAAAGTGACAAAATAGTGAGCTTGGTCCAGCTTAGAATTGAATCTTAGCTGGAACAACTTTGAAACCTAAGTCTGGTAAATGATTGCTCCAGCTAAGAATCGAATTCTGATTCTCCCGAACGTATGCTCTTTTAGAAGTGTGAATGTGAAGTCTCATACCATGCAATGAATAACAGCAATATTTCTTGGGTCTTCTGACAGCCATGAATCTACACTTTCGCAGAAATCTTTAACCATTTGAAGAGGTGGCACATGATTGTCATCAAAAGGGTATGCTTCCACGCGACCGTAGAAGTGTTCCGGATCATAACGTTCTTCTATACACAGATTATAGACCTGAAAATTTCAAAAGTGGTATTTTCAAACACTGACACAAACACAGACACGAAATGACACTGACTCGTTGACACCAGTAACAAACTTTCTTACCTTATAATGTTCTTGATGTCTCATGTCCAAGACAGATTTAACCTGCCAGAGAGGATTTCTGTACACTGCTCTCATACGTTCAGCCGGAAATGACATTGCCAAAAGTCTATCTGTGATATATGACATGTCAAGATCATAGCCAGCAATAAGAATTCTTCTTCTTTGCTTAGATACCAAGTTTCGAATGAAATTCTTGGTAAGGTAATGGATCATGCGATGCTGTATTTCCAAACTTGCTGGACTATTGATTTTGGGTGGTCCCTGCTTTGTTAGTTTCAACCCCATTTAGGTTGATATGCCAGGTTCCACACTGACAATAAGGTACCTGTCACAACATCAACAAAATATTTATTAAGGTTACGACACCGACATTGATACGTCGACATAGTTTTAAATCGTTTTCTTTAAGATTGCAGCATCAAACTTTTTGAACTTTCCATAACCATGTTGCAACCGTTATCAACTATCTTTGTTTTTCACCTCATAATCATGATTTTAAATTACGATCTGCAGAATGAAATTTTTTAGATAAATGCAACAACATCACAACTTCAATTTTGACCGCATCGATCTCATTACATCCTCTAACGTATCAATCAAAAATTGCACATTTCTTGTTCTAAGATGTCCTATATTAACCAAAGATTAAAGTTTTCATAGACCCATGTCCTATATTAACCAAAGATTAAAGTTTTCATAGACCCTTTTGAAAAAAACAACAAATAAGAACATAGATGCACAAGAGCAAAAACATGTTACCTAATTAATTTGAACATGTAGTAGCAGATTAGTAACTCTCAATATTAAGAAAGCAGAAAAAAGAAAAATCCAGGGCTCCAAAAAAATTCAGGAGGCCCCAGAGAATAATGAAATGAAAGGTGATGATGATGGTGATGGTGATTAGAACATTGTTGATCCATGTTGTGATGATAGGTTGGTGTAAAAGAGAGAGAAAAAAAGGGAGAGGGGATTGGCAGATATGGTTTGCTATATTTAGATGTAATGATAACCTCACTTCCAACCAATATTTCCAAATTTGGTTACAACCGAAACCGTTATCTTAGGAAATGGTATCTTATGTTTTTTCGCGCTTTTTTCGTTTATAAATTTATTTCTTAAAATTACTAACAAAATATGTTGGCAATTTCGAACATTTGATAACACAGAAAATTCAATGAGGATTTCAAATCTCGAAATAATAAAACAAATAAATAAAAATAGAACCAATCATGGACACTGGTTTATCACACGGTTTTAAATTATGGTTACACTGCGAACTTTTATGTTGTGAAAAAATACGGCCAAAGCTGTCGAAATTGTGACTGCGATACCGTTGAAGAGACTTCATCATTCAAGATGATCATGTGGCCTAATTGACATGAACATTGCAGCATACTGCAAGAGCCTGCGCTCGCTGCTACCGTTGTCCCGTACAGGAGTCACTGGACCTCTAGTCCTCTGCCTGTAACGTCTATATGCAAGTTGAATGTTGACAGCAGCCCATGTTCTCCAATTTGACGAGTAGTATCTCGCCGTTCTCTTTAGTCTCTCGTTTGCGAATTTGTACCGGAAATGATCGGTTATGTACCTCAGGTTTTGAGCATCAAGACCGAAGGCTTCTGTTGATTCAAGACAGACAAATGTGGCTGAGGAGGCTGGAAGCCGGTCGATAAAAGGGCGTCTTAGGCACCAAGAAAGTAGTTCGTCGCCTAAAAATCCTCCTGGTTCGAGGACACTAGTTGCTACGATGCCTTTGCTTAGACTTTGGTTTCGCTTTATGCGTCCGCGAACAATGAATACCATCCTCGGTACAGGATCACCTTCTCTAATTATCTGTAAGGATATCAAAGAGTTAAACAATCATCTTGGTCATTTTGAAGTCCTTTTTTCATTTCTAAATGGAATGTTTCAATTGTTCATATGATGATATCATTAATACCTTTTCATCTTTAGAGAAGACTAAGGGCTTCACCCTGTCACAAATGTTGTCAAGAATAAGATCATCCAAGTTGTGAAACAATGGTACCTGTCAAACAAACATACATAACTACTTATCAGGAAAAGTTATTTAGATAATTTTTCTTAAAGCTTATTATCCGGTCTTGTGACCGTCTGACTAACTCAAGGGGACCAATTCCACTGTCCACTAGCGAGGATTCATATAAAGTCAGAGCAAAGTTCTATATGAACTGGTCCAACACAGAGATGGTTAGCATCTAGCGGAATTCAAACCTGAGATCTTGCCGGTTTTTATGTTTTTCTTACCTTTTTAATGAGGTCCAAGCAAAGATAGCGCTTGATGTCTCTCCTTAGACCCTCGGGCAAGTCTTTGATCAGTTCCATTTCATCTTCTCCTCCCATGGCCGCCCATCTCTGACGTTCAAAATGTCGAACTCTTTGTCTTAATCGGGATGGCAACTGCCTCCTCCTCATCCACCATTCCATGTCACGACATCTCAGCTGCATCTTTCTCTTTTTTGCCATGACAGCATGTAAGAATACCTTCATAGTAGGAATGGTCTCATTGTTAGACTCAGTCCATGTTTGAGTACGAAACAATTTCACAATAAGTGTACCTAAATCTTCTATAGTCGGTTTTATGGTACAGTAACATGTACACAGTTAAATTAAGAAAGAGATTCTCACTGCTTATCCAACGGTCTACAGGCGAATGCACCATAAAGCCGACTACCGTAAACAATCTAATTTTCATCTTATCATAATCACTTGCGGTGAATATAAATAATCTACTTTAGCTACCTGAATGTTACCGATCAATAAAGTGAAAAGTAGTAATCCACTCAGAACAATGCATATGCTGAAAATCACTTCTAGCCAATTACTTGTGGGTTCAAGATCATTTCCAAAAGTGCTGCAAGAATTAGTAGGGATTAGAAAAACATAGATGCTCGATTATGATCTATACACCGACACTTCAGATTTAAGTCATGTCTAATGTCAAAAACATGTCAGCGTCTAACTCAGATTCAACAAAGTGATTATTGCATAAGCGATTATCTATATAAGTAGTCAAGTATTTTTTCTCGATTAAGTTACCTGAGGGTCATCAAACCCCAAAAAATCGGATAAAGAATCTTAACAGCCAAGGAATTGCTTGATATAACCGGAAGTGCCCATTGGTAAATCCCATATTTGAAAGGTCCTGCAACATCTAAGCACAGAGGCTTACTCATCATCATTGTTGTGTTTCCGCCGCATGGATTTCCAATGGTTCCTGGTGGTAATATCGACTGATAGCACACCTCCTCCGAGCATGACAGAGAGAGATTGCATCCGACAGTTCTTTCACAATGCTGTTGGAGACACGACGCAACGCGCTGAATCGCAAGGACATACCAACACCCTCCAGCAACCTGTAAATTATAGTTTAAGCGTTTATGTATAAGCTATTCAAAAAGAGCTTGCAAAATTAAGCTATTGGGAGGTTTGCTTACATGAGAAGCAATGAAATAAGCAATGAGATTGAGTCCAAATCCCCACCAAATGGTGCCAAAGATGTAGCCTGTGACTTTTTGCATTCTTCTCATCATGCATATGCTATGATAAACTTTAGGAAGAAATTGGAACAAAAAAATCAATAGCATTGTTGTCATAATGATTTTAATCCTCTCTTCTCTTATCAATTTTGGTACTACTAGCCAAAACACAGCCTGCAAACAAAACAAGATTATTTAAGTACTACCACTATCTAATTAAAAAAAAAAATTCAATTTTAATAATAAATAATGCTTTAAAAATAGGGGTCACAAAAAGGACTCCACAGTCAAAAATATCTATTTTGTCCACACTTTTTTTTAGGACAGTTTAACGTTTTAGAGATGCATTATATAATATGGTCATCTTGTTAAATATGTCCGTTTTATCCACACTTTTTTGCAGAGACAATTTAAGGTCTTAGAGATGCACTATATAATATATCTGATCTGCCCTGTGTTTAGCTTTTGCAAGTGTATGTATTACACTTTAGGTGTACAAGACCCGTATGTCCGTCCTGTTCTGCCGACATTTTTCTGTAGAATGTGCAAATTTTAGTCCTCCACCCTTAACTATGTCCCATTTTGACCCGATTCTTTTTCCGGTATATACATCAACTTCCTAGAGTATCAATTTTTTATTTAAGAATCTCAATTTTATATTTTAACCCACGTTCAAAATTATTAAAGATAAAAGAAAAAATTTTTTCAAATTGCTTTTTAATGTACCGGTAATATTTACTCATTATTCAAAACTATATTAAACTAATAATAGTAACTCAACTATCTATTCAAGAGTATAAATAAACTATAAAATAATAAAAGTAACCACTATCTAAGTCCAACATTTATTCTTTGTTTATTTAGTTATATAATCTAATAAAATTAAACTGATTTAACTAATTGAATAATTTATTTTAAAATGAAGTGTATCGAAAAACTCTTACCTGAGGCACTGGAAGAATAACAAAAACATCAAACCAAAAACCTTTGAAAGATCGAAGATAATGAGAAGCAATGGCACGCGCGTCCCACACGAGTTTCCCACACCCAACAACAAGTGATTCTCTCGAAACATACGCCAACTTAAACTGCAACAACACATGAAACAAATGCACGGCATCAACACACGTACGCGCCACCGTAACAACCGCCGCCAACCCACCGTCCATATACAAACACGGCGAACCCTCTCTCCCAATCGACAGCGCATAGAAAAACAACGGATCAATCGCCAACGCCACACCACGCGCCAACAACAACGCGCGGTTCCATACTTGCACGCGCTTGCTCCTTGGATCTAAAACCGTTCCTAACGGTCCCCAGTTTGCCCGTGCAACCGCTCTTGCGAATTTTCCGGGCCGGTTTTGGATTGGAACTAGATAAGACCCGGCTGATGCTTCCCATTCTGGCTGGTGACCACTGTCACAGCTGGTGGAGTGAAACACCGGCACACCTACTTGTGTGCAAGCGTAACACTCCACCACACTGGTCACTGGAGTGTCGTCTGCAACTACGACTACTCCAGAATCTTCACTGCTATCACCAATATTGTTAATTGTGCTCTTAGGATTCCTTCCCAAGAATTTTCCACCAATCCACCTATAAAAAATATTAATATTTCAAAAACTTAATTATAGTAATATAATCCTACAAAAAAACTTATTATTGTAACAATATAATATTTTTGCGAGAATTTTGAAAAAATTGAGTATATATTTGAAGGATGAAATTGTTATATACCTAGGGAGAGAGGAGAAGGTGGACATGGTTGAAGATGAAGAGTAAGAACCATGGGAAAGAGTTAGTTACAGAGAAAAGAGTGAGAGAGTGGAGTTAAGCACATGGTGTTGGAAAATGAAGAGAGAGTGTGTGAATTATAAATGTATATAAGATGATGCAAATGAAATGAATATGAGATTGATTTTGCATGTGAATTTTGTGAAGTGAAAAAAAATAGAACTGGTTCTTACGGTTACGCAAGGTAGAATGGATGCTAGTGTTTTTGGAAAAGAGAGAGGGTGTGTGTGGGGTTATATAACGTTGGTGTTTCATGTGTCCGGGTGTGACGACTTACGTTCCCACAATGTTTTTTTGTTATTTGCCGTTTTGTGTTATAATTTAGGGACCACTCTTGTCTTGTTTTTGGCTAGCTCTGTAGACATGCAGTACTTACAATCCGATTCTAAACAGTGGTTACTTAATCCCATCCAGCCACGGCTCTTGATGTTAGTAAGAATCACTATCAAACTAAAGTCGGGATTGTTCCGGTCCATCTCAAATATGCGTCACTGCGGCCATAAGGTATTGTATGATTTGAAGACAATAACATTGCAACTTCCTTATAAATGCATACTACTATTTGAAATCATGCTTATAATCTTAGCTCTGCATGACAATAGCATAAATATCAACACTACATGTTCTGTGGATATGATTTTTTTTCTTTTAATTTTAGGGAGAATATACACTAATAATTCGTAAACAATCGTGGATCAATCAATTAAGACTGAGTGCAAGTTCGTGTATGATTCAAATTTGTATTCCATCTCTTCAAATTATCTGTTTTTTAGTTAATGATGAGGCGTGTCCATCACCTCAATCAGTGACATGTCAACATTCAATTTATTCTTTTTTTCTAAGAGGACATTTAATCTATTCTTTTATTTAAGTTTTTTTTGAAAATTATTATTATTATTATAAGTGGTCATGCAACTAGTTCAAGGTAGGTCCAATAAATTGTTGAGGTAGGTCCAATATATATATATATATATATCATATTATAAAATTATATTTTATTTACATCATAAATTTTTATATATTAAAATATAATTCTTGAAATTAATATAAATTTGTCTTATGTGTAAACGTAGTATCAAAGTTTTAATAATTTTTTAAAAATTTTAAAATAAATAAAAGTAATAAATAATAAGACAAACTCACACATCATCAATGGTTATTGAAGAGCATAACAAACTCCTTGATACTCAGGAGTTAGGATATGAAAAGAGAAAAAAAGTCAAGTTGAAAAATAATAGAATCACGTGTGGGTTATAGTTAAAAGGCATAGTAGAAAAATGTATTAAGTATGATATATGATGATTGATCTTTTGGCCTCTCCCTAATTATTCTCTTTGCTCTGAACCTTCTATTTATGAATTTCTTGTATTTAACGTCTTAGCATTTCATTGAAAATTATTAGTGGATCAATTTCATCTAATTCAATTGAACACCATTTATTCTATTATTTGTAATTCATTGCAATTGGTGATTTCATCTCCTCATGGCAGACAACACACATATGAAGGTAGGTATAAGAAATGTCAGAGTAGTTATGAATAATGGTAAAACATTATTGATTCAGAATGTGTGGTATGCACTTGGTATGAAAAGCAATTTAATGAGTATAAGTCAATTCATTGAGAAAAAAAATTTAGTTACCATGAAGAACAACTTTTTAAAGTTGTGTGACTGTCATCAGAAGTTGATTATGATGTCAGAATAGGGGAGGGATATAACATTCAAAGTGAATGTTAAAATTGCAAACGCTGAATGCCTGAGTGCAACAAATATTGTGAAGGAAAGTGAGTTGTGGCACAAAAGATTTGGTCATTTGAACTTCAGAAGCTTATGGCATATGAATTCGAATAAGTTGGTACATGGAATTCCTATAATTAAGAAGGCAGAGAAGTCACGCAATGTGTGCATGAGAGGGAAGGAACCAAGACTGCCATTTGCATCTGAAATGCCTTCGAGAGCAAAACATGCTTTGGGTCTGGTACATTCTGATGTGTGTGGACCATTTCCAGTACCTTTACTTGGAGGGAATAAATACTTTGGGTCATTTATGAATGAGTTCACAAGGATGACGTGGGTATCCCTTATAAAATTCAAACACGAGATGTTTGTTGAATTTAAGAAATTCAGAATCAAGGCTGAGAATCAGAGTGGTCAGACTCTAAAGATTCTTAGAACTAACGATGGAGGTAAGTATAACTCTACTGAATTTAGAAAGTTCTGTGAGGAGAATGAAATCGAGCATGAGGTGATTGGTCCATACATTCCTCAACATAATGGTCTTGCTGAAAGAAGAAATCAAACTTTGCTTGATATGATGAAGAGCATGCTAAAGGACAAGAAGTTCCATCACACCTTGTAGGAAGTAGTCGTTACCACGACAACATATGTACTCAACAGGTGTCCAACCAAGAGGCTGGAGGAAATTGTTTCTTTAGAGAAGTGGAGTGGAGATAAGAAAAGTGTGATCTATCTGAAGGTGTTTGGTTTTGTGTGTTACAGACATGTTTCAGATGCTAAGAGAAGGAAGTTGGGTCACAGAAGCAGATTCATGTTACTTATAGGGTACCATAGTACACATGCTTATAAGCTTTATTGTCTTTTCACTAATAAGATTAAATTTAGCAGAGACGTCGTTGTGAAAGAATCAGAAGCGTGGAATTGAAGTGAATCTCAATCCAAATCTAGTGTGGTGTTAACACCAGAGTTAACTTCTGAAGATACTTTAGAATCTGAAGATTCTGAAGATGAGTCTGAATCAAAAGATGATTATGAAGGAGAATCTGAAGGTGAATTTGAATATGAAAGGGAGTCTAAATCTGAAGGTGAATCTAATTTTGATTCAAATTCTGATGGTGATTGAGACTCTGGTGGATCCAAAATCTAGGAATGTTTCAGACTCTAAATGTGGTACTTATGGGGTTCTAGCATCTGATACTGTTCCAAAACCCGAAGACGATTTTGAAAAAGTTCAGAGGCCATAAAGAATCAGAAACATACCAAGGAGATTTTCAGAGTTTGACATGCTATGAGATACTGAAGTAGACTCTGAAGAGGAATTCATTCAGTGTGCCATGTTAGTAGACTTTGAACCAGACAGTGTTGAAGAAGCGCTCAAGAAGAAAGTGTGATTGAAAGCCATGAAAGAAGAACTTGAGGTTATAGAAAGAAACAAGACTTGGAAGTTGATAGAGCTTCCAAAGAACAAGAAATCTACCTGCGTCAGATGGGTTTTCAAGGTGAAACTAAAGGCAGATGGATCAATTGGAAAACACAAAGCAATGTTAGTAGAAAGAGGATTTCTATATAAACCTGGGTTAGATTACTTTGAAGTATTTGCTCCTGTAGCGAGACATAAGACAATCAGACTGGTGATTGCTATTGTTGTTAACAGGAATTGGCCTATGATGCATTTAGATGTGAAATATGCATTTATGAATGGTCCATTGCAAGAAGAGGTATACCTGTCACAATCTTCTGGATTTGAGAAAAAGAATTAGGAAGGGATGATGTACAAGTTACATAAAGAGTTGTATAAACTAAGACAAGCTCCTAGAGCTTAGAATCTGAAAATTGATTCATTTTTCAAGCCTAAAGGATTGAGAAAGTGTGAGATGGAGTATGGAGTTTATGTTCAAAATACTTCTTAAGGAAATATGATTCTAGTGTGTTTGTATGTTTATGACATATTGCTAACAGGAAGTTGTGAACATGAGATAGCTAAGTCCAAGAAAGTGTTGATGAATGAGTTTGAGATAACTGATATAAGAAATATGACATATTTTTTAGGGATGAAGTTTATGTACTCTGACAAGGGTATCATTTTGCATCAGTTGAAGCATGAACTTGAGCTTCTGAAGAGATTCGAGCTGCTGAATTGTAAGGCTACTATCACACCTTCAGAAATAAATCACAAATTAGATTATAATCTTGAGGGTGATGATGTATATGATACAACTTTCAATTAGTTGGTTTTCTCTCCGACGTATCTGTGCAATACCAGATCTGACATTTGCTATACAAATGGAATGGTTAGCAGGTTCATGAGTAAACCGAAGTGGTCTCATTACCAAGTTGTTGTCCGGATTCTGAGGTATCTAAAGAGGACTCTAAAGTATAGAGTTTTTCCCTTCTTGAGGAAAGGATAATTTATAGATGATGTGTTACTTAGATTCTAATTAGTATGGAGACAGAATTGATAGAAGAAATACTTTTGGATATTTGTTTAAGTATCTGGGATGTCTTATTTCTCTGTGTTCCAAGAAGTAGCCAGTTGTTGCTTTGTCAACTTGTGAAGTCGAATACATTGCAGGTGTTGTGGCTACATGTCAAGCTGATTGGCTTCTGAATTTATTTCAGGATCTGAAGATCAAGGTAAACAAGCCTCTAAAGATGATTGATAACAAGTCTGCAATCAACTTTGCCAAGAGCTCAGTGCTGCATGGGAGAAGCAAGCATATTGAGACTAAGTATCATTTCCTAATACGACAATTCTATAATAGAATGCTAGAAATTGTGCATTGTAGCATCCAGAAGTAGCTAACAGATGTTCTGACGAAGAAGATTAAGACTGATCAATTTCTCCACTTGAGGGATGTAATTGGTGTTGTTAGTTTTGATTAGTTAAATTCTGAATTAAGGGATGGTGTTGAAGGGTAATTCAGTATTTTAGTATTTAGCAAACATGCAACTCAAATAATCATCATAAATCGTCATAAAAAATCACCTCAAAATCATCATCAAAATATGGTTCCACTCTTGAACCATAAGGTCGCCAATCACATGCCTCATTGTAATCTCTCCTAATTACTAATCTCCAACAATATAATTTTAAAATAATTATTTTTCATCTAAAAAAAAGTAACATTATATTTTTACTCAGAAACTCTAAACTCATCAAACTTACTAAAAAATTCTCAAAATTTTATTATAGTATTTTTAACTCAGAAGAGTTCTCAAAAAGCTCAAAAAC